CCCCAAAACCCCAAAACCCCAAAACCCCAAAACCCCTTCAATAAGACATAATATTTAAAAACAACATTAAATTTATTTCTAAAGCCAAGGATGAGGTACAAGCATATGGCTCTCTATTTACTAATTCTGTGCACTCTCTATGCTTTGATTTGGTATGTATCAGATTCCTCATCAGAAGGGCAGGATAATGCATATGCAATGAAGTATATCCTAGAGCAAGATCTACTGTTTATCATGTTTTCCTTGCTCCCCATTTTGACTATTTTGCCAGCTGATGAAAAATAATATGGTCTTTATCATTCATATTTCAGTCATATTGCTTCATTCCTTAGTGGGGATCTTCATGCTTATCTTCCAGAGTAGAGAATTGGAGATGAAATATATAGTTGGGATCATAATTCTCACATCCATAGGTCTCATATTTGTAGCTCTGATTGTAATCACAGCCTACTGGGGTGGTACTGGAGTTAACTTCGGAGCTCTATTTGAAGAAGAAGTAGAGCCAACCATTTTCTTTAGCGGATTTCATATTCATTATAGACAGGAAATGCCCAATGCTGACTTCCATGACACTTTTGATCAGATAAATTCTGTAATTTATGAACCTTATATGTCCTTAAAATAATAAAATCTGACCTATTTGCTTATCTGAGTATGAATCTAAGGAAGTGATTAAAGTAATGCCTGAATGTTATCATACCTTTCATAACTCTTGAATTGAAAATTGGTTAAGAAATGACCTTAGTTGTCCATTCTGAAGGCATAAAATTACCAGACAAGGAATAGAAAATACGAATAACCATCGATATAACTCCATTCTTAAAAAGATACAGAACACTCCAACATCCAGCATTCATTCGAATTGAAATAAGGAGGAAGAAAAGAACTTGGAAACTCTCCAAGATAGACACATGACCACAACTGTAAACATTAAGTTATTAAACTTTCTAGACCATTCCTCCGATTGAAGAGCAACTTTCTCATTGTACAAGTACTGGAATGCTTATCAGATCTTCACCAAGCTCGAAGAGGTACTCTCAGAATTTATTGTTCTAGGCTGAACCAGATTAGTTCAAAAATTCTCGACCCTAAAATGTACGAAATTGAACCTATCGAGTAACTTCACGAAAATTAATTCTATAGAGAATCCAAGGAGTCAAAAGAATCAGGAAAGAAGTATCCTTCACTCATGAAAAGTAAGCTACATTTCTTAAATCCTAAGGAGGAGTACTTAATAATAAAATAGCAGGGTCGAACAGTATGAGTACGTGAAGTAGGAAACTACGCCATCTGACAGTACAACCTTCTCTTAAGAGCTTGAAAATGCCAAAGAAGTCATAGATTAATAAATTTTATTAGATTAACGGGGTTTTGGGGTTTTGGGGTTTTGGGGTTTTGGGG